GCTACCCATATTCTTTTCCGATCACATCTATCACCTCCGCTTCCACCACTCCTGACGCTGTCCCCTGTAGTTGCAACTTCAAATACAGCTTCCATCCGCCACCTCTGTTGTTATCATTCCTATCACCATGGTGAATTTAGCCCTGCTTCCCTCCGGAACAGATGAAGTTGTTTATATGCTGAAAAACTACTTTACTTCGTAAGAATCTCAAAGACTTTTCACAAATGAGTCTAGTAGAAAGATTACATTCTCCAAAAAGAGTTAAGCTCCAAAGACTTCATTTGAGAATATGCAATGTTGTAGCTGTAGGGGTTCTTCTTTACCCTTTATTTATTTATTTATTTATTTATTTTTGATCTTTTGGAATTGAAAAAATATATTAAAACATTTGACCATAAATTTCGTAAGGGAAATACCAAGCTAACTTCCATTTGTCTTCCATTGGTGAGAACAAAAATAACTTGATTATTTGAAGATCAACCATTTACAAGAATAAGATCCAAAATGATTAATAATGCAAACATCCATGAAAAATTTTCGGACATGGAGCATTACCGTAGCATCTCATATATTGCTTCAAAGACAAACAACTAGGACAATTGGGTCCAACCGTAACAAAATCTTATCAAGACATCTTTATCGTATAATCTATATAAGCTTGTATCTATGAATTAATAGTAATTGTTAAGACATGTCTTTATTGTATAAGGACAGGAACATCCAATGATTTAATTGATTCCAATGCGACATATTGGATTCCTTCTGATGAGACTAAGATCAACCTGCAGCCACAAACATACATGTCATCATAATTTGTGTGCAAATAAATAGGCTGCAAGCAGAAAGGGTACAGAAGAGTACCTTGTGTCCAAAAAGATCCCGGATGTTGCTAATTCCATACAGTATCATGGTTGGTCTGGTTAATGCACATAAACCAAAACAGAAAGGAGGGTGGGGAGGGACACATCAGTGCTTCATTCATTTGCCTATATTGAAATTGTTGAAAAAACTTCACCCTTCTGTGTGAATAATTTCTTACCTTTCAAGAGAAAGCCCCCATGCAATAACGCTAGCATCTTCTGGCAATCCCATAGGACGCAACATTTCAGGTCTGAACACGCCAGAATTCCCAATTTCAACCCATTTCCCCAGGCCTTCATGATAACTAAAAGTAGATGATTAACTGTCAAATTTCTATCCAACTAACTAAAAGTAGAAGAGAAATTTTTTACTCATTACCTGAATACCTCCATGCTAGGTTCCGTATATGGATTGTACGTAGGTTTGAAACGCAGATTAGACATGCCTGAAAATATATTAAACCCTCACACCAATTTATTCTAGAGCAGTTTCAAGTTCCAACCATATTCAGAATAATACTAAGCATTACCTAGTTGTGAGAAGAAGTCATGTAGAACACCAATCAAGTCACCAAGAGTGAGCCCTCGATCGCAGACCAAACCTAAATCAAAACATATGAATATTTAGCAAGCTAGTAGGTCAATACAAGCACTCAAAAGCAATGTCAATCAGATGGTACAAATCTAGTTAACAGATGGTCAGATGCATCAACAACACATATCTAGTTGATGTTTTCAGTTACCATGAAAATTTGAAATGCATTTGAATTGAACAGGTTGCAGCCACCTAGGCACTAAACTAATGGCACAACTCAAGAATATTATTAGTGCTAAAATCTTTTATATATGTTAGTGTCAAACATAGCAGGTCTTATTCAGTAAGTTTTCAATTTACTGAATCTGCAACTCAATTTAGTTTTTTCAAGACAGACTAATATTTACAACAAAAGTTAATACATAATACAAACCCCAATCCAATAACCAAGTTTATCAAGTACCTTCTATTTGATGGAATTCTGCAAGATGAGTTCGGTCAACAGCTTCATTTCTGAAAACACGATCAATTGAGAAGTACTTTTTGGGAGCAAAAGGTTGCTGTAGATGAAATCAAAAAAAAGAAAAGAAAAAGTAGAATATTTAATATTTGTTATTCCTAAAGTTGCTTATGATGTAAACCACTTAACTTTTTGGGGGAAATTAAGGAAGGGGGGGGGGGGGGGAAGGCAAGGGTTTGTTGAATATGCATTTTGTAATCCAAAAAATATATTTATGCATTCAACAAATAGAGTGCAGGTAATTAATTATAATGGCAGCACACCAGCAAAGTAACAGTCAGGAAGCATGATAAAAATGTATAGTTAAAGAGCTAACTAATATTGGAGGCAGTTAAATGAATTAAAAAACAAAATTATGAGTCTCAAGACCCTCAAACCTTTGCCAGTGCATAAAGCATTCTGGTGGAAACAGCAGTTGTATGCGTCCGCAGCAAGTTTTTGTTTGCTTCCTCTCTTTTCCATTCGTACCCATATCTATATAGAATAAAAAAACAAATAACAATAACTGAACTGCTTACTAGTAAAACATTGAAAAAGAGATATCATAAAAAAATGAGCATACCCCCTAGAGCCATAACCACCATCTTCATGAACACGCTTCACTAACTCCACATACTCCTCAGGCAACTTCCTCGTAGTAGAAGGAGCTAAAAATGTATGCCCCAAATCATCAGAACAATACCAGAAAGACCCTTCTTCCTAATGAAGCATTCAAGCCAAAAATACCTTCCAAAAAGAATGTGTCATGGGCATCACGAGCAGGGTGTTGTTGTGGCTGGAACAAGGCATCAAAGTTCCAGAAGCTATGAGAGAACAAGAAAGTTAGCAAACGATGAACAATGCCCCATAACAGTCCAATAAAATAGATATAGTAATAAGATTGTGCAGAGCATATTTCCGGTCTATGTCAAACCAAAAAAAAAATAAAAGGGAACCACCAAGCATCAAAAGAAGGAATCCCAAGTTCCTTCTATCCAGTAGATGTCATCTTTGGATTTTGAATGTAACCTCTTATATAGATCACTGGAAAAATATATCTACTTAATTAGAAGCTACAGCATATTAGAAGCCTATGATAACTAAGTGAAACTAAGATCAGTAACAGAATGTGAAAAGAGGTTGGCAAAATCAACTACCTGCTTTCAACAAAGTTATTAGTTGGCATCTCCTCGAAACTGCAGCCAGCACAAAACCAAAGCATATTAATATTATACTTGAAAATGATATAAACAGAATCATTTTATGTTGAAGAAAATGCAAAAAACAAGCTTTCAAAGAAAAGAGCATTGTGGTTTTATGAAATCCTTCCTGTCTAATGTTGCAATATGAAAGATGCTTTCCTTGTTACCAAGTAAGAAAGCAATAGTATAATGGAAAAAGAAAGCTATGCCACTATTTTCAGTGAGTGGTATGAAATCAGCTGTTATTTGACATTAAGTGCACAAGTGGCACCAGCGTGTAAATAAAGGCGGAAGACTATTGCAAAATTTGTATGCAGAAGCAAGATTTTCAAGTAATAAAACCTAATCCTTACCCCATCCGAAGAAACATGTTCTTCAATTGATCTTTCACCTGGAAACAAGACAAGTATTGAGAAGATTAATTCCACATAAACAATCATCCAAAGACTAGCCAAATAAATGCCGTTGTACATGACAGGCATATTTTTACATATTTGAATGAAGAACCTTTCCTTCCTACACCTAGGAAAAAAAAAATGCATTGTAAGAAGCATATTGAAAATTATTTTCCATCATTCGATTTAGAAACAGCAGCAAGCTTTCTTACAATCATTTCTCTTGTTGCTAATGCAAATTATCAATAGTTAAGGAAGATTTGTTGTAAAAATTAACAAAATTACAATTAACGTTGGAAACTTGCTTAATGCTTTCATCAAATCAAATGACTTATTGTCTTGTATTAAGCAAACTTTTGTTCCTCATTCACAGTTTCAAAGTTTAAACATTTTCTAAAAATTAAATGGAAACAAAGAAAAAGAAAGATCCCCATCCTTGCCTTGAGCAGAGGGTGAAGATGGCCAGCTTCAGCAGGTGGTCCTTTAGCATTGAAGTTATACTCTTTGAACTCTAACTCCTTCCAATCACCCCTAAAAGATACAAAAGAATCAACTGTTAACATCATAACCTTATGCCTGAAAACAACTGCGACCCATCAGCATGTATGGTTATATTCATCTAGAGAAAAATCATATTTACCCTTGCTCATCCACAGGTCCACCCAGAAACTTACTGTTTGACAGTCCAATTAATCCTATAAGTGAATATATGCTTACAGAGGTCTAAACAAAAATTTTAATTCCCCAAATGTCATTAACAAAGACATAAAAATCAAAAAACAAGAAGATGCTTTTAAGACTTGCTAGTAAGCATGAGCAGCCGAACAGACAATA